GTGCGTAGCCCCAACAGTGTTGGAAGAGCTGTGCAAACGGATCAAAAGAAACTGTTGGGAGTTGTTGGCTGAAAAGTTTGACCGGTTTCAAACTTTGCGCAACAACACGCAACAACATCCAACAACATGCAACAGGGAGTGCAAACGGACGCAACATGTAACATCCAACAATGTTGGAAGTTGTTGGCCAACAATATTGTGTCCGTTTGTACGTGGCTTAATAAGAACTAGTTTCAAATAAAAACAAACACAGAGCTGAGTATAATACAGGCAATGAATTCCCAAAGATTTTAATCAAAAACAACAAGCGTCGGTATATCTCAGCAATATACTACCTCTATTTTTTTTAATATAACTCGGCGCTGTATAATGAAAAAACATTGTTGGAAACAAACGGATAAATCAAGTATCATGTGGATAATACGATTTATTAAAGAAACTGTGATAGTTCTAGACCTTTTAGCTTCATTGTTTCGTATGATCAAAAATGAGTACGCTTGTCAGGTAATTACGCGCCGTGAATGACCGATTCAACTCAAACGCTGACTTTATAACACACCATTCAAGTGGTTGATGTAGTAGTTGTTATACCCAATTCTAATACATACGAGTTTCATACGAATGTGTTCACTTAACAGGGACAGGCTCCGCCTCGCGGTCCAACCCCTTACCGTTTTATAACCTGTTCAGAGACCCTCTATTTTCTCTTTAAAGTCAGTCGAAAGCGGGTGATAAAATATAAAGCACAGGGGATTTATATTATTGATCGCCAGCGCAAGGGGGTAGTGCTAGGGAAAGAAGAAAATAGACGCAAAAATAGATGCTTCAACAAACACTCGACTCCGAGTGTCATTGTTATTTGATTGCAAAATACTTAAGCCAATTACACGAGCAACTTATATCTCCAATTCCATTCGTCAAATTTAATTGGTACTGCGAACGCGGCGGTGATAATGATGAGGTGACACCGGGGAGGGACTTAATAAGAAACCTCTTTTACCCAAAGATGTCTACAGACGTTCTTTATTTTTCTTTCTCGCGCTTCGCGCTCGTTCTCACGCGCTCGCCGATGTTCAATTTTCGAAAACAACTAAAAGAAAAATAACACAACGTCTGTGTATAGGCTAACCCTTTTATGCACCACTGATTTTTGACTCAAAAGGTACTCCTTTCGTATACCTTCTATTGACAAATGGTCACCACTTTCACTTACAATCAGGGACAAAAGTAGTTGACACACTTGTTTAAAACTGGTGCTTTTAACAAACATTTAATTCATTTATTATTTCATTCTTTTTAAACGCCTTAAATCCCCTCACCCACCGAATCAATGCTGTCTGAAGTAAAAAAGAGACATGAGGGTCCAAAATTCAACATTGATTTTGGGGGGAAGGTGTTGGGGTAGACAGGGGAAGGGGATAGGTATATCCACCATGCAAAAAGGGGCCATTTTATGGAAGTGTGTCAACACTTTTGTCCCTCATTGTAGCTAGTACCGGGAGCCTATCACCCTAGACTCCTGCTAGTACCTAGTTTAGAAAGAACTTTACATCCCTTTTAACTGCTGCAAATCCATCGTCTTTTAAGATGAATAAATCACAAAACTACAACGTTTTCTCGACTTTTTCACAGCCATATAATGTATCTGTTAGCCCTTCTGGGCCTTTTTACAGACCAAATTGACACTATTTGCCTACCCTTTCATACGCTTTTATTAGCGAAATCCCTATCCCTTTCATACACTTGAAGCTGAAAAGGTACCCCTGCCGGGGCGGAGCCTCTCCGTTTAGGTTACTATAGGGGGTGCCCCCCGCCCCCGTTGTACGAGTAACATAAGGATAAATGGGGGTAACACAGGGATACCTTCGAATACCGCCCCGTCACACCGGTAGTAAGTATAGCTGATATACATGTAGTCTACACGAAATCAAATGAACAAAATCTACCTTTTGCAGCAGAGAGATGTGTTTTTTAATCGTTATCGATTACGAAATTAAATGCTGTATACTGTTGTGAGTATATTGGTGAGGTACAAACATATCTCACATCACGTGTTATAAGTAAGTTGACCGGCCTTGAGGGGTTGAAAAAATTGTAAATTGGCGTTGGTGGTCGATCGTGAACTAATACCCCAAATCACGAAAGTGATCTTGTTGGCCGTTTATAATTATCACATGAGCCAGTCACGCCTTATTTGAAAAAAGATGACTCTACCAGTCGGTAATTTGTATGATTCCGACTTAAGTTACATGTTTAGAAATTGTTTTAAAAATTAATAGAAATGAACATCATTTCATTGGTTTACTTTACATCTACATTTTTCAAAATTGTCAGAAACAATTGTTTAAGAAAAATCAATGAGACGCCATTCGTATGCATCTGTAAGCAAATTGCAAGGCATCGTAATGTCTAAGAAGAGTGGTTTTGAGAATATGGGAACGGTTTTTTCCAGTTTAGAGATTCTTCAGGAGCCAGAAATCCGTGAAGATCAGCTGAAATAGTGAGATTTGAAATACTTGGAGACTTTTTGACGGTAAATGGTTAAATTCTAGGCCGTATGACGGCTGACGGTTGACCCCATTGGACCCTCAAAATTCCAGTTTTATATCCAGGACCCTTGAAGAAAAAAGCCTTAAAATTTGGCCTGTGGATTTTCTCGCTAAACCTTTGAGCTTGGCCTTGTTAGTTTTCCAGGCTCTCCCCTTTTTTCTTGGCTCCCCCTCTTTATACTCCCGTTCCCACCGTTTTTTAACTGCTACCTCCAGCTACTTTTCTCTCCAACTTCCGCAACCCTTCCTCTCCTCTGGCTATTCTCCCAGGCTCCCAACCACGCTGGTCCCTTCCCTTCCCACAACTAACAACTAAAACTTTTATTTACAATCAATTGCAATCAACTATAATATATACCATTCACTATTCTACTAGCACAAAATGGTATGCTAAGTGATTAAACTTCAACTCGTTCTTAAACACATTAATGATTTTTTACTTATCATCAATTCATTTGATTTTTTATCTTTTGGAACTTTTAAAACACAAATAGGCGACATCTTGAAAGCACTAAAGAACGAAACTGAGGCTGCATCCATTTCACTTGTAGAACAACTTTAACCTTTAGTCTCCTGGTATACTTGAATACTGGCATTTTTGACAGCACGGACAGAGCTTAGCAGTTATAAGTCCACACCCAACCTATTATATCAAATCAGTAACAGGCGTCAGTATGTTACATTAATTACAGGCTTTTTGTTTCAGCTATTAGTAAGAGTAAGGGCATATAATGGCTCCCGAAAAAACATTGGTCGTGGAAAATTTTGGCCCGATCTCGAAGTCTGGAAAGCGTTTTTGATAGGTCTCGAAGTCCCGTTATCGGGTTCACGTCTTGGGGTCTCGAATTATTTTTTAAGTCTCGCTGTCGAGTTTCTAAACCGGGTCTGGCATTCTCGCGCAGTCTCGAATTTGGCATTCTGATGACCCCTAAGAGTATACCGTAAAACTCCGAAAATAAGCCCCGGGGCTTATATTTTTCAAAAGCCCTTTTTGAGGGGCTTATTTTTGGAGGGGCTTATATTCGGAGGGGCTTATCTACGGAGGGAATGCGTTTCAAAATCGATTGAGCTAGCCATATAGTTGGAAGTAAATGTACCGTTTTTGTTTTGTTATACTTTGTATTGGAGGGCAACTTTCCAAGTACAAGCCCCCGGGGGGCTTATATTTGCAGGGGCGATTTAACGGAGGGTTTTTTTGCGTTACCGGTTTGGGGGGCTTATATTTGGCGGGGCTTATTTTCAGAATTTTACGGTACCGGATATACTAGCCTTCTGAAAGAAACATATTTGCAGTAATGTGTTGACGTATTTTATGGCCTGGCTTTAAGTAATGATCCAGATAAGAAGGAAAGAACCAAACACGATGAACACATGTCGGAATGCAAAAAGGTGCTAACTTTGCTGTTGTCTCTACTACATTTCTTATTGGTTTAAACAGCTAATTTTACGAAATCTTCGCAAAGCAGCATGTATATCTGTCTGGATTTGCAAAAAGGTACCTCCTCCAGGATTATTTTTTGCAACAGTCTCCTTTGAGGCATGTTCAGTACTTGATCATTTTTTTTTCCTCATGATGTTTTCAGTACAAAAAACCCCTAAAAGCTACATTAGACAAAAACATGTCTTTAACCAGGAGCCCATAACATGGAGCGAGCAACTTCCATGCGTTTGTGTCACGGCGTTTTCACGGACCAGTTTATTTTTAGAACGATTTCGGCGCAAATTTTGAATATCTTTTAAATTTCACAAACCAGTCAGCAAAACCTACAGACCTAAAAAAATGATATTTTTTTGCCTTTTAATAACGATTAGTTTTCCTTTTTGATATCTTACACTTCGAATGCGCTCATAGACATGGTGGAGTTTCTATTTTCGCGGGAAAAAGTGCCCTAAAATGAGTCTAAAAATAAACTGGTCCGTAAAAAACGCCGTGACATGGGCCTAGTATAGAAGTTGCTCGCTTCAGGTTATGGGCTCATGCTTTAACACGCTGTTAACATCTTTCCCCACCCCACCCTCTCCCCTACCTATCAATTCCCATTATTCTCTCCGTGTCATAAAACACTATTGTTACATTTGGAATCAGCGCGCGCTGTAGAAGTTTACGAGGTAAGGTTGTTTTAAAGTATGACTTTGATTGTGATTAAGCAATTATTGGATTCGCCTTTCGCAGGATCTGAAGAATTATACAGACCTTTAAGGCCGTATTAATCGCCAAAGCCAAAGACCAAAGGCCTTGACCCGCATAACTCTCCAGATCATACTAAACCTCTTCCAATAATTGCTAATTATTATACACTTTTTTGTGTTGTACTCTCTATCTGTCTTCAAATTGGCTAAGAGCCTACAGCTAATTAGGAAATCGGCGTAACCTACAGATTTTCTAGGCCGAAAAATATATCCAAAGTTGCTACAATAAAAACTAAGAGTGCAACCATTGCTTTTTTTTCTTCTCCTCCTTTCCCTCTAATCGCTCTTTCCTTCGTTACTGTGATTTTGGAGCTTCGGGTGTAATAAACCAGCCTTTTGATGCCTTTTCACTCAAATGACTGCAAATTTCGTTAGGTTGGTTTTCAAAAAACCGGCTAGGTATATTTCCAATGATTTACCTTCACTGTTGTGCAGACTGGTGGTTTAGGAACACCATCCGGAAGTTTGCGACGCAAGCAACAAATAAAAATGCCAAAGGCCAATGCGATTAACAGCAAAAGCCCTGTGATAGATCCAGCCCTGTGAAAAAAAATAGAAGTAAGAAAAATGAAATTGCATGGTTTTAGTTACAAGGCTTTCTCTTCATGTAGGGGACTCAAAGGGAATCCGGATTTCGGGAAATTTTTGTTTGTGGGAGAATCCGGAATACTAGGCTTAATGGAATCTGTAATGTGGAATTCCACCAATGATCCAAGTTCCACTGACAAGGAATCCGGAGATCCAGTCCATGAAATCCGAAATCCACGGTGTGGAATCCAGTCCAAGACTGTCTTGGATTCCCCGGGTCCTAAAGCTTTTCCATCTCGCCACAAAGGCTCCCTCTAGCAAGGGAAAATACATTTAAAAAAAATTCACTTGGCGAGGGGCTTCAGTGATTCAGTGTTTAGCTCTGTCTGGGCAAAATGCCGCTATAAACGTAACAAGGATTCAGGATTAGAAGATTTGTGAGAACCAGGAGTAGCGCCCATACCCATCCCTATTGAGAAAGTATGTGCACGACAAAGGTGATAAAATTTGAAGATCATTCGTACTTACACGATTACAGCAGTGTCCATGTTTTTCCACTTTCCAGAGCACGCTCTCTTGAAGTTCAATGGCGTATACTGTAAAGTACGAATAATGACTTAGTCAACCTATAGTTGCTCACAGTCGATTTTTTTAAGCGACAAGTTGCGAGAACGAGGAATACTGATGACCCAACTAAAACCACGGAATATTTTAGCAAATCTTACTGAAGTTCAATGCGTGTACTGTAAAGTACGAATAATGACTTAGTCAACCTATAGTTGCCCACAGTCGATTTTTTTAAACGACAAGTTGCGAGAACGAGGAAGACTGATGACCCAACTAAAACCGCGGAATATTTTAGCAAATCTTACTGCAAGTTTTCATGTTGAATTGAATTTCATCCTCCTAACGAAGAGCACCGACAGTTTTATCAAGATTCTGCAGATCCAACCATGACTTTAAACTAATATTCTAACTAGCCTACTGCTATAGCTATCAATGCAGTTATAACTTAGATATCACTATCTAACGCCCAATTTTAATCACTGGTAAATTTATATTTTAGTTCATTGTGGCAAATGTACTTACAATCAGTTGTACGTACGTGTGAATACCCAAAAGTTTTCACCGGGGTTGGCGTTTTCCTCCAGTGACTCGTCACACACAAGGATAAATTAATATATTTGAGTTTTTTTATTAAAACAAATGAAACTACGAGCAACCTAATATATATTCCTATATTCAGGTCTTGTCATTATTGGATAAAACAGGACAGCTATGTCCTTTTAAGTATGATAATAAATAAAAACAATTGTAAATTTCTTTTAATTCTATGTGCTAGAATTCGCGAGCCATTCTATCCACAAGGCATATATTTCTAAGGCCTCTTGATTATGATATTTTTCCTCTAATATCGTATCAGTTTTTTTTGCTTTTCTGTGCAGTTAAAACACCCAAACAAGAAACAGGTTCTTACGTGGTAATTAGCAGGGATTTAGGCTATTTTGGTTCTTAAATAGGTTCTGTTCTTATTTTCTGAACAAGCGAGAACACTCACGTCAACTGTCTTGAGGTAATCTACTCTTTGATATTCTCAGATATCAGCATGAACTCGGGCAGTTACGTTTTACCTTCAAGGCTGAAGGAATCTCTGAAGTGACTTTCTCGTATACATTCGGCGCATGTCTGGCAGCTCAAGCAAGTAACCCATAGCGCCAAGAAATATATTGGGTGGCAATCCCGGGGGGGGGGGGGTACTGCCATATATGGGTTATATAGGTATGTGCCGCTGTGAAGGGTATGGTTTTCAAGCAGTTTACTCTAGGATAAGGTATATAAATCAGAGCATTTGGCTCTAGAATACGGTATCATTTTTCAGGAAACTGATCAGTTGGTTGAAAATTTTATCTAGACTAGTTACACAGCTACTCTAGGATAGGGGGGATTTGGGGAGTTTACTCTAGTATAGGGTAGCAAAATTCAGCTGAACTAGCTCTGGTAAAGGTTAAGGGTTCCAGGCTCCCAGCGGCACATCCCCACCCAGAAATTCCTTAAGTGCCCCCCCGGGGTGGCAATTCGATTCCACATAATTAAACACATTTAAATTTTCCGGTTAATAGTATACAATAAAGTTTTGCATACATTAAAATATTTTCTTAACACTTCCAAACAGAACTCGCTTTTTGTTCACATTCCTGTAATATACTTCACATTGCTGTGAGACTGTTATGGGTTCGTTAATCTTTGTTTTTAAATTTGCACTCTCCATGGGGATTTTTGTGTAGGACTGGAATCATGGGGCGCCAACGAGCCTTTTCTAAGGGCCTGTTTACATGAATGTGGGGGACCGCAGGTAGGTGAGGTAACATGTGGCGGGTTACCCCACCTATCACGTAAACGTGACCACCTTAAAATTGAGAGATTATATCTAAGCGGGTTACCTCACTATCTGGCCGGGTATCCCACCTCCATGTAAACAGGTCCTAAAATAAACTTGTCATCCTTAAACCCACGGTTAAAAGAAAAGAACGCGTGGTTAGATGATTACTGTTGATTTTAATCAATAGCAAAAAGCACCCTGTTTTTTGGGACTATTCAGTAAGTCATAATCTGAAGGAGCATTGATAAAGAGAAGGGGCAGAGTTGTCTGTAATTTATCCGTTCTCTCACTTAAGAAACTTTTATGATGTCTTGCTTAGTTTTGCAGTTTCATTTTTTGCCATCAACAAAAAAAATGTGGCTTCTGTCTCACATCGACCATTTTCGAGCCACTGCTTCAGTCACGTGGTTTGAGATTGTGATGATCTGACAAAAACCTTTTAGCACATGGTAGATTGTCAGATAGGGGTGAGGTTTTGCCATATTTATTGGTTTCATTAGCTATCAGTCTGGTAGGAAGTTGTTTTTTATAGCCTTCATACAAGGAAAGTCAGGAGAGGGCTTAAGTTAACTTTTAGCAATGGGAAGTCTAAACAGCAACGTTTTTGAGCGATGCCGTCAACCGGAAATGAGCGTTTTTCTCTTTTAATATAATTATCTTGACGCTACCAAATTTGTACTGTTATGGTCTTTACTCTTAAAGAGACGTTTTGCCAGGAATTTGTTCAAAATCACGGCTGAAGAATTCATAAAGCCCACTTCTGTTTGACGTGCATCGCCCAAAAAGCGTGGTTGCATAAACGGCTCCCTAATATTGTACTAATTTCTGAGCCACTCCCTTCAGATTATTAGTTTAATAATTATTAGTTTTTAGTGACTTTAAGCAACAATGACGGCGACGGCTACGAAAACGTCACTTAAAAAGTGAATTCGCGCTGCCTCAAACTTTACCGCGCTTATTCCATCTCGTTTAATTCGTCAGATGTTGGCAAACTTTTTTGGAGTTGATTCTAAAGGACTGTATCAAAGTTCAGGAAAAGAAAAGGAAAGTTGTTGTCTTGTGCTTCCGTCCTCGATAAAACGTGAAATTAGGCACTTTCACGTTGTAGTCGTGCAACAACGGCTAAGGCCTGTTTCAAACGTCGTGCTACTGCCGTGCTAAGCTGGCTTAACTGTAGCTCGACTGCAGCACGACACTAGCACGACTTGGTTTCAGACGTCGAATTTAATTCAGTCGAATAGAACGGCTGTTGCCGAAAACAAAACACAATAATAAAGAAACTGTTCAGCAAACTTTTAAATGTATTCTAATGTATTTGTAGTTTATGAATTGAGTTCGGCACGGCGGTAGCACGACGTTTGAAACCAAGGCGAGCTACTGCCGTGTTGCACGGCAAGGCTTGCCGTGCAACACGGCAGTAGCACGACTTGGTTTCAAAACGTCGCGCTACTGCCCTGCTAAAGTCGAATTTAATTCAATCAATTGAGTTCGGTTTCGGCAGTAGCACGACGTTCGAAACGGGCCTAAAAAATGTACAAAAAAACGTGATGCACGTGCAAAGCTGTTGTTTTGCTAATAAACCCTATTGCTTTTTTTGATGCACAGCCACTGCAAAAACAAGCAAAACAAACGGGTGTTTCTTGTTATTGCGGAAAACATTGTTGGCTCACTTTGTGTTTTGCTGGTAGAGTCTTTTGTGTTACGTCATTTGGTGTTTGCACCCATCCGAAACACCAAGAAACTACCAAACAAACAAAAAGAAATCACAACAAAAACCAGGAGCCCTGCAAAAGCGAAAGCTTCGCTCGCCGATATTTTTTCCTTTTCACCTCAATACGGAGCCCGGTCCCAGGCTACCAAGTTGAGAATGCGTCCCCCAAAACAGTCAACAAAGCACTTTGACAACCATCTCAAAGTGGCGAATAGGAAACCTCAAAACACCGCCCGGTTTTGAAAAAGATTGAAGATTTCTTTTCAATCTTGCGAACTCTCTATGAAGTGGACGTTAGTTTCTTGCATGAGTTACTTGTGACTGCCCGTGACAAGCACAGATCTTATAATTAGTATAGAAAACAAAGATTTAAGTTCTAACATTTCTCTTTCCACTTTTTTAAAAATTCTTTTTCGTTTTAATTATAATCATTTCGTGATTAAATATCTTTGAGCAGTAACTTACATATGAAGTCCCGTTTTTACCTCTTTGCCTTCTTCCAATAAATAAATAAATGCTTAAAATTGCGTTACCCTAGCGTCCCTTGATTTTTTTTACGCCTAAAGAGATTAATTAACCATTTTGTGGAAAGAAGAGAAGTTATAATGGTAATGATAATAATAAAATAAACATAATAAACATAAGTAAAAGTAACAAAAATGAACGAATTTGAAATCACTGCAGGATCCTGAAGGTCAGCGACATCCATTTACGGGATTTGACAGAAAAATGTCATAATAATAGATTTATGATGAGAAATTAGAACTACAGTATAAAAAATAAGCAAACAGGAAATTAGTTCTGGTCGCGGTTAACACGGATGAAGGACTACGAGACAAACTGTTACAGTTACAAATACCGTGAAGCTTAATCATAGAATACTGAAGAACCGGACTTTATAACGTTACAACTGAACCTACACACTTACCAGGTAAGACCAATCTTCACTTTGAATTAATCCAAGTGAAAACAAATTAGGGACACAAGAGTGCGTTAAGAGATTCAATCGTATGCATAAGCAAATCTCCAAGATTTAGCCTCGAGCTCTACAAGTAAAGGTCACTGTATATGAGTCACGCGCGTAATCTAAAAAAGTTACCTAACGTGATCACGGCAGCTGACGTGATTCGGGGCGTAGGTCACAGAAAGATTGAAAATGAAGCCTTTTCAATGCTGGGAGAGTTAATCATGAAATAACCCATTAACCAAGCACTCGCTCGAAAGAAGATGGCAGAAACTTATTTCCTCACGTGAGTCACGAGAGTGGGCGTAGATCATTTGAGGATCGCACGAGGACAGGAAAACAACCAAGTTGATTCGCTGATTACAGGAGGATTCAAGGCATTGTGATGTCACGCGCGACATGTGATGTCATCATACATTTGCTGTAATTCGAAACGCCTGCTCTCGGCTTTATTCAAGTAATAGGGAGAAATGCCTCATAAACACAAGCGTTT